GAGGAACAGTGGGTACAGAGGACCAGAGGAACAGTGGGTACAGAGGACCAGAGGAACAGTGGGTACAGAGGACCAGAGGAACAGTGGGTACAGAGGACCAGAGGAACAGTGGGTACAGAGGACCAGAGGAACAGTGGGTACAGAGGACCAGAGGAACAGTGGGTACAGAGGACCAGAGGAACAGTGGGTACAGAGGACCAGAGGAACAGTGGGTACAGAGGACCAGAGGAACAGTGGGTACAGAGGACCAGAGGAACAGTGGGTACAGAGGACCAGAGGAACAGTGGGTACAGAGGACCAGAGGAACAGTGGGTACAGAGGACCAGAGGAACAGTGGGTACAGAGGACCAGAGGAACAGTGGGTACAGAGGACCAGAGGAACAGTGGGTACAGAGGACCAGAGGAACAGTAGGCACAGAGGACCAGAGGAACAGTGGGTGGACAGGACCAGAGGAACAGTGGGTACAGAGGACCAGAGGAACAGCGGGTGCAAAGGACCAGAGGAACAGTGGGTACAAAGGACCAGAGGAACAGTAGGCACAGAGGACCAGAGGAACAGTGGGTACAAAGGACCAGAGGAACGGTGGATATAAAGGACCAGTGGGTACAGACCAGAGGAACAGTGGGTACAGAGGACCAGAGGAACAGTGGGCACAAAGGACCAGAGGAAGAGTGGGTACAGAGGACCAGAGGAAGAGTGGGTACAGAGGACCAGAGGAACAGTGGGTACAAAGGACGAGAGGAACAGTGGGTACAAAGGACCAGAGGAACAGTGCGTACAGAGGACCAGAGGAAGAGTGGGTACAGAGGACCATGGCCAGAGGAAGTGTGGGTTCAGAGGAAGGGGAGAACAGTGGGGAACTAGGGAAAAAAGGATCGGAAAAAAGCCCCGATTATTATGTTGCGAAGGTTGATGGATTTAGTTATTTGCCATGTTTTCCTTTAAATTTTATTTTGTGAACGCCATCTTAAAAATGTTTTTAAATAGGCCTAGGTTGTAAGAGCTATACTGAGGTTAAATGAATTTTTTGAAACATTTAACGATAAAAAATTGCGATAAACATTTCGTAAAAGCATATTAAAAATTTGTTGACGACGTTTCGATGTTTGGCTAACATCATCCTCAAAGAGTGAAAACTACTTTTTTCGAAAGCGAAACGAGCTATGTGCTCACATGGATATTTCGCAAAAAGTAGTTTTCTACAAGGTTTTGAATTTAAGGTTAAAACCGTGAGCCCCAAAAACACCTTCAAAAACCACTTTCTAGCACAGAATTTTATCATATCCTGTGCGAAAATACTTGCAGAGGTTTTTTTGTTCACATCCAAACTAATAACGTGACATGTACTGACAAGGTCTGGTATAAAATAAGTTCCTGTTATGTATTAAGTAGTTTATTTTGTAGTTTATTTTGTAGTTTAATTGACTCAATTAATCGCATAGTGATGCGCATAGTTCGTAATTTTGTCGATACTTATTACAGTAAAAGTAAAATCAGAGTCCAGAGTCCAGGGTCAAGAGTCCAGTCCAGTCCAGTGCAGCCCAGAGTCCAGTCCAGAGTCCAGTCCAGCGTCCAGTCCAGAGTCCAGTCCAGAGTCCAGAGTCCAGAGTCCAGTCCTGATTTTATCCTATGCCGCCCACGGTCGTCAGTTTCGAATCTTCTTTAATTAAGTACGGTTCGACTGAAAGCAATCAATTATAATACTTAGAAAGGAAATCAAATGAAACGATAAATAAATGATGGTTGAACTTACAGATATTTCCTCTGATGGAGTGAACCTAAACTCTAAATAAAAACTAAATCGGAAGTTACGTCAGCTGCACACGTCCGTAACGCAAGGTTTGAATCTAGCATTGTTTTTCCTTGAGACGTGACCTTGGGACACCAGTTGAGTAATTCTGTGTTTAGCATAACCGCACAATTTCCTTTGTATTAAATAGACTCTACACCTGCATAATATGCCAAGATTCAGGAGAAAACTGCGGCTGACCATCGTTATCTGTGTATTCTTTTGGATTTACATCAATTTCGTCTTAGATCCTGTATATTTGCAATCGATCCATCGCTACGTTGTCAGACATGAAATCTTACGAGGAGATGTTGTGAAAAAGCAAGAGACGCATTCGAAGAGCAGACTTTGCAGAGAGAAACTATCGTTCCCCGGAGAAATGTGCCCCAAACCTTATTCAGATATTGCCTCTTGTGAATTAAGCGAGGATGGATTTTCCTGTCCTGACATCCGACGTAAAGGGAACACCACGCTGCGACAGGCTCAATTGGTAGTCACGAGGATGTTGCGAGTATTTGATCTCATTGCGCGCAAGCACAACTTGCCATACTGGGTGCGATCCGGATCCCTGATAGGAGCTATAAGGCACAACGGGTTTATTCCATGGGACGACGATATTGATATAGAGATGCCACTCATGTATTACATTGACTTTTTTGAAAAATTCTCCAGAGAACTACCAGACGACATGTTCTTCCAAACATCCAAGACAGACCTGACTTATCATCGGCCGAAGAGTATTTTTAACATTAGGTCGGTCAGTGATAGACGGGTCGGAGTCTACGGTGGTAATTGGCGCCCTAAAGTCAGAGATCGATCCAGCTGCTACAAATATTGTCTTAAAAAAGGGTGCACTTGGCACGACGGTCTGCAGCTCGATATCTTCGTAACCGACTCAATTCCTTGGGGAATATTTCCGTTGAGAGAAATGAGCTTTGAGGGATTCAACATTCTCGTTCCAAACAGGTGGAAAAGTGTGATAGCTGATGAGTACCCACAGTTTATGGACTTGCCTAGAGAAGCATTCAGATTACCAAAAAATATAGACGTTGATCCCCTGCATAGCTGCGAAGCATTGTTATAAAAGAAGACGAAAGTGTAGCATTTACATGTTAAATATTCAAGTTAACGAAAGTGGAAAATTTCATTGTTTCAATATAATTTTACAAAGTAGCTACTTGCATCTGAATGGCCAGGTAAGGTAAATTTTGTACTTCTATATTCTCTATCTTTGAAATTGAAAGAGCATTCGAACCACAAAGACAGTATATAGAAAGCCAAGTAAAATCTTGCTTTTTGGACCGAATAGCTTTAATTTGAATGCCCTTCTCGCGTCATTACTCTGTGCATGCATACATTACGAGAAAACTGTCAGGTCACGCTGTGGAAGCAATGATACATGATAACACCTGGCCGTTGGATTGGATTGTGCTAGCATAACTTTTGGCATAATCTGGTGAAACGAGCATAAGTTTAGCTCTCTTTATAAACGTAGCACTCCTAGCATATTCAGCATATGTTTGGTTTTCTGTTTTTTTGTTGTTGTTTTTTTGTATTTGTTTTTGTTCGTTTTCTTTTGTTTTGTTTTGTTTTTTAAAGAGGACAAGAGGACATTAACAGAATCAGGAGGGATTTGTATGAAAATACACGGTTGAATTTCTAACCTAGGATCTGAACTAGTTTTGAATAAAAACAACCTTCTGTTGGGAATTAGATAATTGCCTGACAACACAGCAGTTTTCCCGATAAACTCGCGCTAAAATCAGTCACTTACGATATAATTTTTTAACAGATATAATTTTCTCTCACAATGTGCCAAGTTTTTTTTTACAACACACGTGGTGTATTTTAGAACAAAGGATATACAATCGGTGAATGTTTCCTTTGATTGGTTACAGTTACTGATGATGACAGATTCGATGCCTATCCCTTTCAGGTGGACTAAACAACGAAATTTTAAACGCGTTAAAAAGGTTTTGATTATGTAAACACACGATTTCCGACACTTCCTCCCTTCTGCGTTTGTTCCTTTGCGTTTTGTGAGTTTTCTCGATTTATTACAGTTAGCTGTTTGGGTATTCCAGCTCTCCTGTTTTTGTCACGTACACAGTCCTTTTCTTACCTTTTTCAGATTTTTAGGTCAAGAATATAACCGTTTATTTTCAAACAAATCCCTTAAGAGCCAAGTTATGAATTCAGTCCATGAAATGACCTGGGAGGACTGGCTAGCTTGCAATCTGAATGAAGGCGTCTGTATTATGGAGCATTATCGTTACAAGCTCTCAGTTGTTTAAAGGGTGAAAGTTACTAAAGAAACCGTGGTACTGCGTCGGTGGGGGTAACAAGGTAATTTGGTTACAGGGCTGCAATTAGGGAGCTTAAGCAACCACGACGAAAGGGACGACGACGACGTCAAGTAATCGCGGAGGGTCTGGAACGAGGACGTCGTTTTTAGCGGGAAAATGAAACTTAAGCAGTGAAGTTGCTCAAGGACGACGACGTCTGAAATCTTGTTTATTCTCGCTTCGTCAGTTTAAGAAATGACATCGTTCATAGACGTCCAAAACCTTCTTCTTCTCACTCATGGATCAAATTTCCACATATATATCGAAAGTTCGAGAGTAGGTTATTCAATTCTTGAACATCAACAGTCCAAGGAATTATTAAGCTTTAGCTTTATTTACAATAATTTACGCATCGCAAAAGTTTAAAATATTAAATTTTACGCAAGTTGTTTGAGATTTAAATTCAGTTCTAAGTGTTGCTGATATAAACAAACCTATTTTGCTCAAGGTTTGTCTGATTTTCAACATGCTTTAGCCTGATATGTTCTACCTTTGATGCTCCTTCCTTTGGCGAGCAAACGACGTAAGTCTGTCAATTTAATCAATGCTAGCCAGCGATCGACACAGATAGCAGTCGTCGCGCTTCACCCAAGTATACTATTTTTTCCCGTGTGATTTTGTCGGAATAATTTTTATGGCTGTAAATCTATATCAAACATTTTGATATTAGATTCGGAAAACCTGACGGGTATTCAAGCTCATGTTAACACACCGATTTGAAGAATTTTTTGTTGTTTAAAGCGTCTCGATTGAAGAACAGCAAAACGCAAAATTTTGAAGTAGCAATAATCCGGCAGTTCCATACACAGCTTTTGACCGAACGCAGAGGTGTATTACACTGCCATTTAAAATTTTACATTCAATAAAAATGATAAACAGCACTCTTTCATAAAATATACTCAAATAAATTTAAACCTTACGTGGTCGCTTTCACCGCTTGACTTGACATCTGTTGTGCGGAGAAAGGAATATGAGTTGGTGGGTTTTCGAATTTTATTTGTTTAGATAACTGAACAGGGTGGTTTAAATCAAACGAAGAAGCGAACAAAGACTCCAACCGGCCATAGACTGTCTAAAAACTGACAATAAACCCGCACCTTTTGATGAAAAAAACTGCTTTGAAGTTCGGAAGTTCACGACGACGTGAAACAGGTCATTCTCAAGTCGTCGACGACAAGACGACGACGGAATTCTTGGTTCGCGCTAGCGTAGTGACGTTCTTGCTACTTCCGGTCGTCGTCCTCCGTTCGTCGTCGTGGTTGCTTAAGCTCCGTTATAACGGCCGGTCAACGGACAATGTCCGGTCAAAATTGAGTACTGACCGGAAAAATCCCTGGTTTGCCGGACATCTTGTCCGGTCCTTTGCCGACTCGTTTAAAGAAATTTTAATTTTAACTGTTTGATAATCACAAGGGACACAGTCATGTTTCCAAAAGAAAAAAAAAAAAAACAATATAAAAGTAGACAAATTAGTGGTCGAGAAATTCGCGGTAGTCGCAAATTTCCGCGATGTCATCAAGTCCTGTCGCGACCACAAATCATCGTGTCTTCCGTTATGTTATTTACTTTATTTAAGTGTTCCCAGTTAGAAGAGGGTTTTACCTTCGGCTAGATACCATCATTTACTCTTAAATAAAGTGATTGATTGTTTGATTGATTGAATGATAGGAAAGCACCCTCGCGAAGAATAATCTTGCTGCATAGAGAATACTCCAAGTAGCATTTGTTGCAAAGTGCAAAAAGCGAGCAAAAGGCCCAAAACCTGGAGAATCCGACCACTCTTTTACTCTAACAAAAATTCACAACTGTAACTTTAAAAAAGGGCTCTGAGTGTAATATTTAATTATAAGTGATTTTGCCAGATGTAAAGTAAAACGGACAATTGCGGTTGTATCTTACGTAACCGTTCCACGTACTCAATGCGAGGCTGCTTCTGTAGTAAAGAGTAGTAAAATTATTGACTTGTAATTTTTATTGCCAGACCGACTTGGATTCAGTTGTTTTTTAGTTGTAAAAGGATTAATGTGCAATCTGGGTTCACTATCGCAAGAATTCCGACTGTTAAAATTTGACCGGCCAAAAACGGGTAGTGTCCGAGCAAAAGCATGTTTGACCGGACAACGTGACCGGCGACTGCCCATTAGTTATTTGCAGCCTTGGGTTATATCAACTAAGTTGAAATTGTAAATTGACCATAGCAAAGAGTGAAAAAACTGACGTTTCGAGCGTTAGCCCTTCGTCAGAGCGAATGACGAAGGGCTAACGCTCGAAACGTCAGCTTTTTAACTCGTTACAATTTCAACTTAATTGATAGGATCAAATTACCTTATTACTGTTGGAGTGCCTTCCATACTTTACAGTATTATATCTTGGGAGGATAAAGTCTGAGTTTCGGAGACTATATGGCCTTAAATCATTTCTTTTTATAATGTTTTCAAGGTAATCTGGCACCATTTGGTGCTTAACCTTGTACATCAGAAATATTATGTCCTTCAACCTTCTTTCATTTAATGTATCTAGATTAGCCCTTTTTAAAAGGTCTTCACAGATGAGGTTTTGTCCAGATAGATTACGCGTAAAGCCCTTTCCTGTATCCTTTCTAATTTACGCTGAAGCCCTGGCAAAGTGCCTGACTTTTTTACAATATGTGAGATGTGGGAGGATGGTCGATTTCAATGTGAGTTTTGCTGGAAAAGGTACTAAATTTTTCAGACGACATAGAACTCCTATCTGTTGACTAGCCTTCCTACATACTTGGACAATATGTTTACTAAAATTTAAATCACTGTCTATCAATACTCCAAGTAATTTCATTTAATTTTTTTTGCTCAATGTCCTCAAGTCCAATCCACATATTTATAGCTTTGTCAGGGTACTGACTTCATGTCTGATCTAAAAATGATGGTTTGATACTTCTTAAAATTGCCTTGCAGTAGATTTTGATTATAAATAACAATAAATAATTTAGCAATGGACATCCACTGGGTGGCTTTTCTTGTCCACTGTTCCCGATCGAATTGGAATTTGGAATGTTGGCTTTTGCGGAGGGAGGAAAATTGGAGGACCCGGAGAAAAACCCTCCAAGCAAGGACGAGAACCAACAACAAACTCAACCCACATGAGACGCCAGGTCGGGAAATCGAACCCAGGCCACAGTGGTGGAAGGCGAGTGCTCTCAATTTGTAATTTGTTTGTCCAATAGCTTTTCATAAATTTTACCCACAACAGGTAAAACAGTGATTGGTCTATAATTACTTGAGTCATGTCTATCATCCTTTTTAAATACAGGAGTCCATGTACCCCTTTCCCAAGCTTCAGGCCATACTGCCGTCTCTATGGAAGTATTTAAAATCGTGCACAATGATGGAGCAATTTCCTTTGATATCATTTTTAACAGCCTGGGAGACAAGCCATGATGACCCGAAGCCTTATTGGTGTTCAGACTTTCCATTTCTTTGATCAACTCTGCTGGCTGTATAGATAGATAGCTTTATTAGGAAGTAAGATCATTGCAGCCCCCGGACCGGCTGAAATACGACTTACTTTACAATGGGAATAAATTATCTCTTACTCTAAGATAACTACAATAAAAGCCGCAAAGTGTAATCTACAATAAAATACAATAAGAGAAGTATCAAAAACCAAAATACAAATATTAAGATAGCTACTAATAATTAAAACTGTTCGCCATGATAAATGTGTTTTTGAACCTAGTTGTCTTACAAATCGGTAGCTTGAAGTATCTCTGGCTGCGGGTGCGATAGGTGGACTCGTTGCGTGGAGGCAGCAGATGATGGAGCTTGTGGTTCTCGTCCCTTACAATCTGATCAAATAGAGCATCACACAAGATCTCCCTCCTCTCGTACAGTGACGCAATGTCAAGAGCTACTAGAGCCTCAGCGTAGGATAAGTCAGGTTGAATCATCCGCAACGCGCGTTTTTGCAACCTTTCCATTTCATTGGACAGATATTGCGGCAAAGAATGATGAAAAACTGGGCACGCATATTCTAATACAGGGCGTATACATGTTGTATAGAAAAGTAGCATATCCTCAGATGGAACTTTAGCGCGCTTTAGCTGTTTTAGGAAGTAAAGACGCTTCGCAGCCTTTTTGCATATAGATTCTACATGTGCGTTCTACCTGAGGTTGCCCGAGACTATCACTCATCCTATACACTATCACTAATCCCCAAGTGTAGTGTATAGGATGCCAACGAGCATGTAATATGCGAGATGTAATGTGATGCGTGATGGTGTGATGTAATACCCTCGAGACCTGCATATATACCGCGTGTGTTTAATTATTTAGTTAGTTCTCTTAGGTACGTGAATAAAACCGATTTCATTTTAACCGCTGTGTACTACACCAAGGACTATAATAAATTTTTATTTTTTTTTTTATTTTTTTTTTTATTTTTAATAATTTTATTGGCATTCTACTGAGTTACAAAAGTAATAAACGAGAAGTTACACGTACAAAAAATTGCCAAAAGGGAGTAACGAACGGGACGTGAGTACCCATGCAAGGAAACTCCCTACAGAATAAAAAATAAATAAATATTACAAAGTTTTAAGTCAGTGCGAATGAGTTCTATGGCAGGAACAGTCTATAAACACTGACCAGGTACACGGTTGGTCAATATCGAAAACATTTGCTAATAAATTAAAATAGTGATTAGTGACAAAGTTCTTAAAGGATGAAAGAGTACCTAAGGAAGACGGAGGAGCTACTTTACACATAATATTCCACAGTTTTGTAATTCTATTAAAATATGAGGCCTTAAATAAAGATGTTTTACAGGACTGAGTTTTCAGCAGTAATTCCGGATTAAAACAGTTTCTTGTGCGGTTGTGGGGAACAAAATTAACAAAGTTGTTAACGTCAATAGGCGATATTCCGTACAGACAGTTATAAAAAAATATTAAGTCTTTGATCTCTCGGTCATAACAAAGAGGCAACATATTCAACTTAATTAAGCGTTCTTTGTAAGAGGATTCGTGCAGTCTTTCCTTTAATATCCATCTGGTTGCTCTGCGCTGCACGCGTTCTATTTTAAGCTTTAAGTATATGTGATGCGGTGACCAGACAACGGTGGCATAAGACAGTTGAGATTTCACAATGGATAAGTAGGATATCCTTCACTTCAAATTGCCTTTGAAGTGAAGCAAAGGTGCAGATGTCGTTTAGTTCTTCCTCTAACCTGAGGTAATATTGCTCACCGATAGATTTTGGGGGTCTGTAGATTCCCACTACGATTACATCATGTTTTCCAAATTTGGCTTCAACAATTAACGGTTCAATGGTCGAAAATTTGCGGTGAACTGCTAATTTCTTGGATGGTGTTCTCGAGGATACAAATGCCATAATACCATCACCACCCTTGGTACGGTCATTGCGGTAGATGTCATATATTGTAGCCACTGATTTTGAACTGAGCAGTAGGGTAAGTTGCGTCAATTTTTGTTTCTGTAAGAAAGAAGACCTGTGCTTTGAATTCTTTCACAAACTGTTTCACCTCCTCAAATTTATTTTGGATTCCATTGATGTTCAAATGCATTATGGGAATCCCTCGGTCATCATCGCTTCTTGATTTAATAAATTCTGGTGTTTGACAGATACTAAATAAATACTGGTGTTTGACAGATTTGACGTGTTCAGTGTCTGTGCATAATATTCGCCTTCAATCGACAAAATCGATGCATCAGCAAAAGGTAAGGCGGTTAAAAAGCATGCTGGGCAAATCTAGTTGAACTGATCCATTTGCTGGAGGCGTTTATACTCCTTGGGCTTCACTTGACCGCATTTCATATGGCTCCACAGCGTGCATTGGTCGCAGCTTAATGCTTGATGGTTTCTGGCAATTACTTTGTTATAAACAGAGCAGTTTGTAGGGCCAAGATTAAATTCAATGTCTCCGCTGACAGTAACACGCGTAACTTGAAATCTTGAATCAGAATTCGGGTAATACTGTGCTCGTGACCCCAGGAAACCTCTCCGACGAAGGGACAACCCAAAATGGCGGGCTTTACAGACATGTCCGTCAAGGAGTAAGAGCCGTAAATCCGATGATACGTTTGCAAACAAGGAACCAAATCTCATTGGCCTGTGGAGTATTGTTTTACCTTTCTCTTCATTGCCATGGCTGGTTACGTTCAGGAGTAGAAACAGAATAAAAGGCCAAATTGAAAAGTATCGAGAGAAAAAAGACAAACATCCAATCGCCATTTTGACCGCATAAGCTTTCAAAATAAGCAGACGTTTTCAAAGATTATCTGATCAGTGGTCTCTAATTTTTTAACATCTTGATTAGTGCAGGAACATGGATTGTGTATTCGCGTCACAAGCCATTGCCGTTAACTGCCCTCTGCTGCTCTCGAAATATTCAATCAGTTAGGATTGCGTGACAGGTGTACAACAGCCCACTTGCACCTTGATAAAAGAAAAGTCGTCGTCACACTTCCTTTATTTTTAGAACGATGTTGTTGCAAACCTCAAAACTGGAATGTTTTTATTATTAATCTTTGATTAATAATTGTTTCAACAACTACATCTGCCTCTATTCTACCCCACTGGAGCTGTAGTTCAGCCTGTTACCGAGCAGAGGGAATTTGTTAATCGTGTAGATCTTTTGCCTGACACCTTTTCCCGAATTATGTTACTCGAGGTCGCGTTAGTGACGACACTACCGGTGCGAATAACGAACGCTAAGCGACAGAGGCAGGGGTGATGGGCCTGTCGATTCTACCAGTTAGTTAATGCATGCAATATCTGATGACATCAGATCGGTGTATAGACCCAATATTCACGAAAATGGGAAATAATTATTCAAAAAAGCACGACATCACTGGGTCTGCAATTAATTCAACATAGAGCTTTTCCTCAGTGGAAGATTGTCAATTCCATTCTTTCAAAGGGGCTGCATATTATGTGCAAGATAGGGACGCTGAGCTTAGTTAGCTTATTTCTTGCATACAGTTCACAGACTGATTGTATGTATCATAAGTGATCGGGTGGCTTAGCTCACACTCTTTAAGAATGTGGGACAGGCACGGGTGGGGGAATACGCTAGTTGTTGTGCAACAGCTTGAGTGTCCGTCGAGCGTGACGAGATAAATAACGCGCGCGAGTAAATAAGAAATTAGTAAAAGTAAGCAAGAACTATTTTTTAGCTTGCAACTGAGACCATGATATTGCCTTTCCTTCTCCCACATCAAATACTTTCCATACAAGTTTCAGACATTTCTCTCCGTAATGGAAATTATTTAGGAAGATGGGGGTGAATTGGCGAAAAAATTCCACCAAAAAGCTTTCAAGCAAAATTCGACGTTCCCAAAAAAATAATAGTGAAAATAAAGGAAGAGTGCTAGTGTTTGCGGCAAAGACGAGTGCTCTTGCAATTATGGCTCAGGACAAGTGGGTCCGCCTGTCACGCAATCCGAGAGCAACAGAGGGCAGTCACGGCAGCAGCTTATGAGGGGAATACACAATCCATGTTTGGCGCTAATGCATTGTATGTACAAATTCATCAACAATACTCAAATTAAAGTGCAAATATGGAAAAAATGTTGACTCGATGGTTTGTTACCAGTTTCAAACTGTATCATCCGTCCTCGGCTGCTTCGAACAGGACGATTTTCCATTTTGGCTTATTTTGGTTCGAAAATAACCGCTAAAATTTTAAATTTCAGGTAACCTGAGCAGCACAAACGACAAAAGTTGATAAAAATTAGCTCTTTATTCAAACTAGTAACGATTTTTCGCCCCCAAAACGGCCTGATGTCTTTACAACGTGCGCATTGTTGAATTTTCACCTCCAGTCGCGTGACAATGAATGGCGTGTTTTGAACGTCTGTGTCACTTCTGTTTGGGGTCTTAAAATTTCGCAGTTTGAGTAGCCCAAAAATTTAATTGGAATTATTTTAAGAAGAAACCTTGTTCTTTTGCTGGATCAACTTGATATAACCCCATGCCTTGTACCAAGGTGCGATTTTACCCTCTCCATTTTGCCATTTTTTTGTCCGCCAAAATGAGTGAAATATTGAAAAAAAACAAAAATTGCCCAAAAATTTAGTTCGCAACGGAACCGGAAAAATAACAATTCAGATGTGTTCTTTTCATTAAGAAAATCGTTAGTCACATTTACTGTTTTGTCTATTTTCAAGCGACGTTCAAGTGATGGGTTGTCTGGACATCGTGAAGCTGAAGTGAGAGTCACCAAAGTGATTTTGCCGCCGTTCTTTTAAAATAAAATGCAATGGAACTCAAAGTATTTTTTCTAAAAATAATTCATCCGGGCATATATTCTGGCAAAGTTTACATTGCACGCCTCCAGGCAATATTTAGGAATGGCCGCAACTCGCAGTCGGGACTGTAACCCACACTCGCGCCCCAGGCTACTGTGAAGAAGTGCCACGTGACTTTTTCCCACGCTTTTCTGGGGCGTAAGCAATGAATGAAGAATAACTTAAGCAATTTGATATTTTCCTCGCTGGACATTCATTTAAAAAAAATTTTTGAACACATTTTGTTTTCGCATCAGTGTCGACTAGATAAAACGGTGTATACGTAACGTTTTCAACAAGCTCTGCCGAATACAATTCTCTTATTGCAGTTCTTCGGTGTACTCATTAGTGGAAAGAAGCGGTATGTTATTAATTAGATGACCGGGAATACTGCTAGTATATCTCGGTCATTCCTTTTCTTTCTACTTGTTCTTCGTGTGATAGCAAAAGACAAGTCACCGCTAAAGTTTTTTTTATTTTTTAGCTATTTATTAAGTGTTCAACGCTTACATGATTAAAAGGTTGACATCTGCTTCTTAGAACATGAAATATTAGAAGAATTTTTTCGTCGAAATCAACTTTCATTAAATTCTTAAATATATCTAAAGAGGTTAAAACAACGATATTTCTAATCACACTAAGACAACTGTTTTTTTTTTTTATCCTTTCTTAAACACAAAAACGCGCTGACGCACGACACAAGGCAATGGTGGAAGTCCTAACGTTAACCAGCATTGTTTTAAACTTTTTTTTTCTTAGCCCCTTCTACAATATTTACAAGAACCAGGCAAAGGTTTTCATGGGTGTCACGCAAGAACAAGTGATGCATCGTTGCGTGACGTCTAAAAATGGTTGCGAAGGAGTCTAAAGCTATCTAGTATTTTGGCTCCGACTAACATCCTGCTTGGTTGTTGCTTCACATGTCTGTGCAACCATTGTTCATAACTATGGGTGCAAGAACACCCAATTGTTGTCTTCCTTACTTTTACTTGGAGCTTGAGGACACACTCTGCATGTCTTGGGGCAAATGTCTTGAACAAGTTTTTCCGCCTCTTGGCCAAAGCACGACGATTTATAGTCCTCGCAAAACTCCTTTTCCATGAAGTCCTCGCAATCTATATATACCAACAGAAAGTAGTAGGAAGTAATGTGATCATTGATGATGGGTTATTAGTGCTTTTTTTATTTTTGTTTTCAGTTGTAACGAAAATATCAAGTATCCACTCCCTCTTAGAATAGTTACTCTTCCCGACCTCGTCTAGTGTGTTGAAAAGGAAGGTTAACCATTGCCGTATTCAATAAATACACTCTATTAATAAAACAAAAACCTGATACCAAAAGCTGTAAAAAGACTAGGAGACAAAACTGAGAGAAATTGGAGCTCCCCTTGTTTTCATCATGTGGAGGAAGAGACTCTTTCGGGCGCACCTCTTTGTTTGACGGTACTCCGAATGGTGCAAGTTTTATTTTTTCCATTATATGCTTCCAGCTGCCTAAGCCTCCCGGTTAGCTCAATTAGTTAGAGCGCCGGATTGTGTTGTGCGGGAGGTCGAGGGTTCGAGCCGCGGCCGGACCTATAATCATAGTCTTAAAATAAGTGAGGAGAATTTGCTACCTTTCTATTATCAAGACATGGATAGATAATCTAGTCTTCTCGTTTAGGGACGAATAAACCGTAGGCCCCGTCTCCTGGCAGGGTTAGGGGTAGGAGACGTTAATTTCCCACGCACGAGATTACTGTGTGGTGGATGTCCTCCCCTGGGTGGGATGGGTGGGTGTTGGCCCTGAAAAGCCCCTATGAGGAGTGGTCAATTAACCCATGTATGTATGTATGTATGTATGTATGTATGTATGTGAGCATCAAGCTTCACGTCCCCTACTTCCCGCTCTTTTCTGATAAAATGCAAAAGCTTCACTGAAGAAACTCGACCGCTTGTGCTAGCCATCCGAACAGAACTACGAGGAAATAGCGTTAAGGTATGGAAAAAAAAAACTCGTTTCAACATTTATACACGATACTTATTTGACTACATCCCATGTCTTCTTCTGCTCACCTGCTCATTTTGTGAAAGGAAAGTATGGGGAATAAGGCGGAATAACTTACTCTCTTTGTCGCAAAATCCGCATGTAGCCTGACAGTTACTTTCCAGCATAAACTTCAAGGATTCATCGGTTGTACTGCAAACCTCTTTACCATTTTGAGTGAGTAGGTTGCATCTCTCCTGGTCCTGGTCTTTGCACACCACTATAAGAAACAGCACTTGGTTAGGAAAGAGGGTAAGCATAAGAGTAAACCTGAGTAAATCTTGCTTACAAACTAGGAAGTATGACAAACACCATATGAAGAAATTGCGGAAAAGTTATGAATTCATTTCATGAAATGACTTGGGAGGACTGGCTAGCTCGCAATCTGAATGAAGGTGTCTGTATTATGGAGCATTATCGTTACAAGCTCGCAATCTGAATGAAGGTGTCTGTATTATGGAGCATTATCGTTACAAGCTCGCGATTGTTTATCCAACCGGCAGTTTCCGATTTAGAGTTAGATTGGACGATGGGGGGGAGGAGATGGCAGGAGAAAGTCGAGGAATTCAGTGCCCCACCCCATTCTCTCTCCCCCATTTTGATCGCAACTCAGTACTTACCCCCTTAACACAAATTTATTTCTCTCCCAGCCCTCTGCCGCTGCAGAAGTCAAAGATGGTAGCTATAATTTTTATCAAGAGAATATTAAGCTCAACAGGCTACAAAAGGATTTGTTTTATCAACCCTATCAATGGCAGATCGAAAGGGAGGGTTGAGATTGAAAACCACCCTCCATCCCCCTTCCCCCCCCCTCCCTGCTGACCTCTGGGTTTTTTTTTTATAACATGTCTGACAAAAAAATTCTTGCAATGACAGGATCGCATGCCCGCCGCTTTGTGTGTTGTGTATATGATTGGTATTTAAAAAAAAAACGGTATGGAGAGTGCGCGCATTCATGATAGGGTGTGTGATGACTCGAAAGATATACTGAGTTTCTCTGTCTTACGTTTACGAAATTCAAAAATACAATCATAGTGGATATGATTGAAAACTAAATCAGTTTGAAGCCCAGAGCAAATAAAAGTTCCCACTTGATTCTATTTTAAAATGGAACAAGTATCTTCCTTAAATAGTCGTGAATGTGATTATCATCTTTATCTTGTTATTTCTCAGAGCAACACCGTACCGGAGGTACTGGATAATATATAGGGGTGTATGTGGTCTCTGTTCTAATAATCAATTACTTAAACTGCATTTTCCCCATGCCCTTACTTGTAAATCGGTGTCTGTTATATGTAAGTGTATTATGTAAATAGCTAAATGGAAAAAGTAGAATCAAAATTTTAACTGATACTATCTCTCAAGTAGTTATCCCCTTAGGCCAGACGCGTTCTGCAAAATGTGTATCAGTTCTGTCATTATTAGAGCATTGATCATGCCGTTCTTCCGCTTTAATTAGCTGCTGTTGACCTTCTTAATAAGTAGGAAAAAACAATTACTTATCGTTATCACGTAAACTTCATTTTCGTAACTGAAGTTCATTTTGTATCGATAAACTTTCCACAAAGCTTATATATATATCGACCTTGAATATCTGTTCCTTTTTTCAAGTTTAACATTCCTTTCCAAAGGTTTACTTCGCAACTAACGAGTTTATTTTGACATCTGTTGCGTAACTTTTAAGAGACTGCAATTGACTGTAACTGAATCTTCAGAAATAACACTTGCAATTGTTTCAAATTAAACGGGTGTAAGCTACAGTTAAAGAGTGATAGAATCAATTGGCTTGACGTTTGCGTTTTAAAAGGGTTTCCGCGAGCAAGTTGTCAAAGTTCGAGTGTGCCAAAATTTAAAACAATGCTTTCGTGACTTCGGTATAATTAGATTGTCTACTTATCAGTCTTTTCGTCGTATTAAGATTGATGTGGCTCTTGTCGTTTGAAAACTTCATACAAGACCGCTTAGAAGGCTTTGCTGCTCGCGGAAAAATGGTATGGCGAATGACGCTCTCTTTGGAGAAAAAACAATTGGAAAGTAAACTTTTTTTGGATTGAAAAGTGGAACTTCCTTAATGGTTAGCAATGAAAATTTGAGATCTCTGAATGTAGAATTTTACGTTATGTACATAGCATTTTTTTCTGAGCTATTTAAAAAAAAAAAAAAGCCTCTCTTCGATCCACAAATACCGAAGTATTGTCTGTACGTGGCATTAATCCTTGTGGGTCTTTTAGCATGGGGAGGTAATTTCAGCACTTGCTTATCACGTTCAATGTGTTAATCCGAGCTAATGTGTCACAATCCGTATTAATTCATCGAAAAGTATTCCCTATAAGTATACTGAAAAGACAATTATAAAGAGTTGAAAACCCCTATCAAATGAAGTAAAATCCCATTTAGGTGAGTGACAGGCGCATTCAAATGTTGTGAAAGCCTAGTTAAGCGTGTCAGGGAATGGGATATACCCTTGGATGGAGAATTCCCGTTTAATGCTTTTGAATCCGGTTAATTTAGCCCATAACGCCGCAGGAGAGGACACGGAATGGAAAAGTAAACATTTTAATTACGATTGAAATATTCACGATGAAACTAAAACTGAGGGGAATCATAGATATTCCCGACTGAACTCATAAGGTACCCATTGTGTAACTAAGGTTAGAAGTCTTTTTTCGGGCCCTTTAAACTACCGACAGATTTGAATACGTTTACAGTAGATTCCGGCAATTCAAACAGATGTGTATATGACCTTAACCAGACCTTACCAAAGTGGGAAATAGGTGAGACCACAAGCGATGATAACGTACACCTTCTAGAACTGTCTTTGAATAATTTTGTCTCTGGTCGGTCCAATACGAACAGCTAATCACCTAGCGGAGTTGTTAGCCAAACGCACACTGAATTATCAGAATCTAATACCGGCATGGATCGGGATTTTCGGGTCAGAGGAGTACCGTTGACAACATGTTACTGCATGCCAAGGATTTCATTAATATCTATTAAGGAAGAAGAAATATGTTCTTTTTTTTTTGTTGTGATTTTATTGTTTTTGTTTTTGTTTTTAACAATATTTGGATCTTCCAGTTACTGTGTACAGTTTCCACTAGGACTGTCATTTAAAACAAATAAAACCGTTTATCTCTCGTCAAAGATCATTCTGGTGAGGTTTTTTTCGAGTGCCAAAGCCTCCTGTCGCAGCAAACTAGTGCAACTATCCTCTGTTTTAGTCGTCTGATTAAAAGACGAATGCTTCATAATCAATTGACTTTAAAGGGAGTCTGTCACACGCTTTTGATCAACGAGCCACTGGTGAGGCACACGAAGTTTTCGTCCAAGAATTACGTCGTCGTATTAACAGTTTGAGACTTTTGGATTCTTAAATAGTGAGGAAGCGAGCTCGAGATTTTCAGTAGTGATATACTGGGTGTGCGCGGTATTCTGCGTTAATTTAGCGGGAAAAGAACAAAAGCCATCAACGCAAACGGAAGAGTTCCACCAAAGTGGCGCATTGGCAAAAACATGATACTGATGCAATAGCAGTTTCCACTTGGAAAGGGTCCCATAACATCCATGATAAAGGCTAAGCATACTGACTTCGTTGCTTATGAAGAGAGCAATGAAACTTCAGAAATGTTATGTTTTCGTGATATTCCGCTGAAAACAAGATTTAAACCTGGAGCTTGATGCCATACTCGTCCCCGAATCTAAAGGTGTCGATTCTTTCTGATCAGCTTAGGCCAAAAGGATACTTCAAGTTTCGTAGATAAGAAAAACAAAGCAACGGCGAAAATAGACCGGCGAAAACCAAGAATGAAAAAGACCAAAATGGATTGTAGAGGATATTAAACGCAATTTATCCGCGATGCACGTTTGTTTGTCAGTCAGTCTTGTAATTAGAAGCGTAACCTTGTTATATCCATTAAACGAAAAAATATCATCAATACAGAAGTGGATCGGATCAACAATTGATTTCGAAGTGTTTCTCAATCTTTAAACGACGCAAACATCGAACTCGCCGAGACCAGTCGGACTCTAAAATACATTTTATTATTTTCATCGCGTCAAAAACCAAAAAAAAGTACACGCTTTAATCTGTAAACTGTTTTAATCCCTTCAATCATTTCCGTGCGTGCACAAATCGAAATGCTTCCTTACCTGAAGAAATACTCCCTGGTGGGCCTTCCTCCCAATATGCCCCTGCATCGTGTCTACCGACGTAAATACTAGAACCGTGGACCAAATTTCCTCCCAGAAGTACTTCTACGATGACCGCTACCAAACACAACTTTCCTAAAGCCGTGGTGATCATGTTGAAAAGCGTAACGTGTGCACGTGTGTTGCGATAATCTGTTTTCCTCGAGGAAACTCGCTGTAGCTGTCTCCGGATTAAAGAATGTGGCTGCGGGTTATATAGCAAATCAAATCAAGGCGTGACCTCCCATAAGCATGCTAGGTGTGAAGGGATAACCAACGATAATGCTCCGTTCCAAAGATTGCTGTCATTTCTTGGCGAGCTTTCGAAATTGATCTACCTTTTAAGGTCCTATTACAGAAGACAACATTGTAATTATTTAAAGGCGGTTGGGCTATTTACTATTATTTGATGGCCTTGTTCCGTTCAGACTGATAAACTAAATGACCCTTAGAAATTTGCATGATTAGAATTTATTAAACAAAATTCATCGACGCAAAATATATAATTTTGAAGTTTCCTTGACATGTACTTCAAAATGGATCTGTTTTTGTGTTTATTTTGGTCAGTTTCCTTACACCTTTCTTCTTTAGTGGCACACTAGCGGTTAACTTATCAAACCTGATGTTTACTAACGCTTTTGATGATAATGATGATTGTCTAAACCTGTTTGTCTACAAAATTGAACAAACTTTCAGCTGTTGGGATTTTCTGAAAATTTCCATGGTGCTTTTAATTCGAAGAGTTGTTCATGCGGTTGGTCACGAGATACAAATAATCTTCGTGTGACTGTCTTCTCAACTGAAATAAACACAGACGTGCTCTTTTTATATTTAATATAAATCTTTTAGCGTTGTATCAAGATTGCCGCAATCTATCCGTGTTACTGAGATAGTGAGCTAACTGGGAAGTTTAACATCGTGTGGTTTCAAACAAAATACAGAAAAATATGAGCCTGTCTTGTTGGTAAGTTTAAAACGACTAGTAAATTTCTGTCAAAACCAAAAGAATAGTCACTTTCTTTTCCTTGCGTGATTGTTGTTTCGGCATCAGTTTCCCTCTTCAAGTAACTATCACGCGATAGAAATCTCGACCTTACATTCTGTCCTCACAGTCTAAGTGTTAAATAGATAAATAAGTCGAGAATTTAGATATGTAGAGGGCAAGTGGCGGGCGCAACGAAGCGTATAAAACTGTACCATGTCATTTATTTCTACTTTAAACTTCGTGTTTACTGCTCTAAGCTTTCGTTCAGTTTGAGACTGCTGGAGCACCTTCGGCGCTGGAATCTGTGGATTTTCTGGACAATCCGTATAAGTGGTGTGACAGGACGCAGGCATTCCAGCTTGTGTGATTGGCAGCATTTTCTGACTACATTAATTCCTTTTTTTTTTTTTTTTTTTGCAAACTACTTATCATAACTTGGAATGGAAATTTAAAATTTCAAGAATAGATAAGAACGTTTGCGGGTGACTGTCCGAAGAGTATGGGATGGAACACTTGTTGGCAAAACTGCTGCTTTGTATACCTTGATGTGTGGTAGATATGTAAACATGATCACAAAACACGGGTCAAGTGTATCGCATTAAAGTGTTTAATATTAGATCTATGTGAATGTAGAAAGCAGCGACAAAAATATCATTATCATCCACACTGAGAGCGGTATCGTTAGTCGTAACGTTGACAAGTTCTGTAAAAAGACAGGAGTCATATATCAATGACGTGGTAAAAATATTTTACTTCAAGAGCATGCATTCTGTATAAAAAAAGGTCCATTCTTATCTTTTTTAATTTCTTCACGATGTTGGAGAAATCGTTGGCGTGCAAATTGCGTTGATGAAACCACTTCGATTTTCTGTTTTGAAGTAAATAGTCGTCTGACAAGCTGACAGATCTTTCACCATTTATACATGAATCAATGATATAAATGGATAGCACCTTGGTATAACGTAGTGCTTTAAATCTAAGACGTGTTCAAAGCGGTTTTAGAAATTCGAATAACTTCTAGTTGGAAATTGCAAAAGGAGGTTTACAGTCAGTAGAGTTTGATTAGGTACAATTAAGAGTGAACTCTGCGATCTGCGTTTTACTACGGGCCGGAACAATTAATTCCCTTCGGAATCTATTTTGTAGTAATTTCATTTTAAGTTACGGTACTCGAACAATGTTATCAACCGGAGCAACTTGAACCTGACTAAAATTTAATTAACAGTAACCCCACATCTGCTTTCAGTGAAAATGTGTTAATTCAAAATATTTCTGCCATTTTAAACTTCTTTCTGAGTAAATTTAAACCCTTCTGCGGTCTCACAGGCGTTTTTACACGCAAACAGCAGCGGTTTTTTCGGCGAGCAGTGAAGTTAAATGATCATTTCCTTGCTACACAGCTTGGCAAATGATAATAAATGGCTCTCTCACGAGGCATATCCATCACACTTAGACTTGTACCCAGACTTCTTTTTTCAAAGGCAGCGAAGCGGCTTTCCCGTCAATCCTTGCGTTCGGCTGGTGCTAAACCAATTTCGTTTCTGACCCACTGCAAATATTGAGATAAATGAAGGATTAGACGAAAATAGTGACTGGGTTTGTGTCTGTGTTTACGTGAATCGGGGCCGTCTTACAACAAAACGAGTCTTATCACGATAAGGTGGCGTAAGAAAAGGTAAAGGAAGCCATTTTGACGGTTGACAATAAAATTTGAGCTCATTTTACATCGGACGTGCATCAGTCAAGTTCTAGACAACTGTGGATGCAGCCTATTCATGCAAAAAAACTTGATTGCGATGACAGGGTGGCATAAAATGGGGTGACCACTTTTGTAGGTCGATGTGTGTTTTTCTGAAATTTACTTCGTATGAGGTAAGTCAATTAGCATACACCCCCTCCCCTCCCCTCCCCTCCCCTCCCTAAGGAACAAAATTCCGTCCCGACGTTCCTCCAGACCCCTCTACGGTGGGTGATTACCGTCATTATTCAATTTTTGATTTTCTGACATATTATTACATTTTGCATAGTAATGAATTTTTTGTCTGTTTGAATTTTATGTTGGTTTCATCAATTTTCTGACAGAATTCAGAAATTTTCGTCTAATCAAATTTTCGGATAACCTAAAATTTCTGTTAATTGGAATTTTCGGGTTGTGTCAGGTTTCGGGGAGCTTTTCGAATTTCCGAATAGTTTAGAATACTTCACATCTTCGATTCGTTTCTGGTGAATTTTCTGCCAGTAGTTCTAATTTTTCGGGACACATTCAATTTTCTGCTACAACTTTTTCTCCAGTTGGCCTGGTGACTACGAGAAACCAGATCGAGGTAATGTTAATGTTGATCCAAGATGACGAATAGAGTGATGGCGCTTTCTCAAGAAGAGCTGCAATCGTTCAGATACTTGCGAGAGCTTTTACTTAGTATTATTTGGGAAATTGAAGGAGGAGCGCTTGACCCAAATATAGTGGACGCCTTACACTTTAGGCTGGATTGGCTGCATGGTTTAATAGCTCGCCTTGTTCATTTGTATGGGATCGATGAACAAATTGTTAACCTAATTGGGGGTGCACGGGATTGCCTTATTGGAAGTCAAGATATTTTTGATGTATCATCACTTGCCACTGCCTTTAGTGTGCAACGTGGACGTCCAAGATATTCAATACCCAGAGATCAGCTTGATTTTCTGATCGGTAGATGCTTTACTGTTGTCGATATCGCAACTTTGCTAGGTATCAGTGTTCGGACTCTTGAAAGACGCTTGGTCCAGTTTGGGTTGTGTGTGAGATTAACATACTCCAACACAGACAACGAAGAACTCGACCAGCTGATTCAAAACATCCTAACTATATTACCTCGATCTGGTTTCTCGTAGTCACCAGGCCAACTGGAGAAAAAGTTGTAGCAGAAAATTGAATGTGTCCCGGAAAATTAGAACTACTGGCAGAAAATTCACCAGAAACGAATCGGAGATGTGAAGTATTCTAAACTATTCGGAAATTCGAAAAGCTCCCCGAAACCTGACACAACCCGAAAATTCCAATAAACAGAAAATTTAGGTTATCCGAAAATTTGATTAGACGAAAATTTCTGAATACTGTCAGAAAATTGATGAAACCAACATAAAATTCTAACAGACAAAATATTCTTTACTATGCAAAATGTAATAATACGTCAGAAAATCAAAAATTGAATAATGACGGTAATCACCCACCATACCCCTCCTTCTGCTCTCTGCTCGCCCAATGACATCCAAAACTTGAAGTTGAAGTAAAAAGCAGTTTATTCTTTACGATTCCAATGAACAAAGTATTGAAAAATAGCTTCAAATGAAGATAACTGTGTCAACCTTTCAGTTAAAAAATCCTAAAATCTATTATTTTGAAATAGAGCATAAGACCAAATGAAGTTTAGCTTAGAATAACGAGTTCATGGAATGTACACTTAAAGCATCTCTGAGAGCGCAATAAAAAAGCTTTACACTCGATATCGTTAAAAAGCTAAAAATATTTTCGTCAAGTATTCTACCTGAGCTGTGATTGGCACGAGACGTTGTATAACTGATTTGCACTTAACAACTCTTTAGTCTGATTGGGCTAAGATATTGCATGAAAAAGGCAGTCATTCATCATTTTAACCAGACTTGCCTAAACTAGGAAAACCATAGACTCCATACCAGGACCTCATTAATAATCATCAGTGAAAATTCTTGTGCGATTTCATTTACACTCACACACACAGCGAAAAAGATTTAGTCGCACAGTATACGCAATAAACCTGAAATCCATGCAAGGAAATGCTTAACTTCGATACATTTGTTATCATTAAGAGCTAAAGAGTTCAACAGCTGCGTTACTTAAACTGAGCCTAATACTAACGCTTTTATATATCCCTATTAAACTTGTCACACGCCATGGGTACGTCATGTATCACACAACTCCAGTCAACTGGTCTAAGCTTTACCATCGTCACAGTCGACTTGTGGGTGGCTTGCTTGCGGATCCTGCATTTTCTTGTTTCCTCGGTGATACTTTTTGCGGTACAGTATGGCGGCAACAAGGAGTACGAGCATGAATCCAACTATAGCGCTGCCGACAGCAGCAATGAACGTGATGCTTTTCATTCCCTTTGGCCGAACGGTCTCTGTGATGGTACCAGCTTCCTCTTTGGTTACGTCACCACCCATGTTTGGAAATACATCTTTGACAATCGCCAAGTACTTTTGATTCACGTGTTCTCGGATAAATTCGGCCACCCAATTCTCAAACTGCTGGCATTTTCCATCGCGGGCACAGTTCAATAGCTCTAGACACATTTCATGCAGCATGTCTTTCCATAGAGGTATATGGGCTGTGTCGTTGTCATGAAAGGCATCGTTTAAGTACCAGAAAAACCCAGTGCGATCTGTGACGCGTCGAATAGCGGCCATCAAAATCAGGTACTCACTCCATTCCAGATCATGAGGACAGAATGCGGTGCTTATGGGTGTAAACACCTGGCCAACTGCATTCACTGCTGCGTCGCACTCTGTGACAACATTATAGAGGCGGCCCTTAATCAGTTCCCCCTTTTTTCCATATTGGTGTACCAGGCCGTCGTCGACAACCATGTGGTCTGCGGTGAAACCGTCATATGTGGTAATGTTAGCATCTTCTGAGCGGGGAGAAACGGCTTCTACTCTGCACCAACCAGGTGTACTATCGGGTCCGGAAACTCCCCGGATGAAGTCTCCATCAGACAACTGAGATACAGGAATGATTCCTTTGGTCTGTTCTTGTACACTCATATTACCAGATACACAATTAATAGTTATGGTCACTGTAATTTGGACTGCTACGTTTACATCTACAGAGGGGGAGAGGTGGTGTTCGGGGTCGCCTTCGTCACCCACTGGGACTTGAGTCAATATCGCTGGTACAAGGATCCAGATGATCAGTAATGACAACTTTATTGAACGAGGCATGGTGGCAGTTTGGAGAGCGTCAGACACTGACGAGGGAAAACATGTGAAAAAGTGAACTGATTGATGATTCAAGGACAATAAGCCAGTAAATGACGCATAACTAACTGTAAACCAGTTTGAAGTAATTTCCGGGTCACTGGATAAGACCATTTAAGTAACTTCTATATGAGCATATATACCATGCCAACGCCTGAGGTAACACTAGAATGGTTATGGACATTCTTTTGTCGTTTTGAATTCTGATAACTCACCGTAATTCTATAATTTTTTTCGAAGATCTATTCTAAATTACTGGAGATTTTCTGTTTTAGCTATTCACGGGTTTGGTCTCCTTCGCTCCTCCTTTATGCTGCATCTTCTCAAAACAATCTGTTTTGAATGCAACAAGAAAATTTTGATTTTATCAACTGAGTTGATAATGTAAACTGACCACCAATATATTGTGCATCGCATGGTCTCCCTTTTGATGAAATATAGGAACGTCAGTACGTTTCCCCAAAAAACAAATTATTTCATGAGAGGATCAACTTAACATTAATTTTTCTCTACAACTTCTCATCTGAAAAACTTTTGTTCATTTCCTAATCGTATTAATTTTATAGACCTTCCCATTTTCCTCGTTTAAAGCTTTGTTTTGATTTGCAATTATCTATGTGTTAACCTCATGAACACCTAAAGTTACAGTTGTCAGGACTATGTACAATTTAATTTTTAGACATTATAACTATTTACAAGATAAAGCTTATCTGTGAAAATAAAGATACAAATATAGATTAAGTCATAAATAAAGTTAACTAAGAATGAAAAAGTAGTCAGGTTGAACACACGTGACATTTGCTTCAATTGCTCGCTCAATCAAAATGTTTAAATCCCTTTCCTAATACAAATTCTTTAATCTTAATGATTTAACATGATTGGGAATTCTGGTTCATAGTTTTGGACCCAAATAAGACACTTAAGCTTTAATCGTTAAGATTGCTAAATCCTGGATTATTCGATCTCACAGTGATTGCAATCCAGCCGTAGTCAGCAGTTTTTTATAACTGCGATAGAAAGCTCTGGGTGTCTTTCTTGGATCCTCTCTCGTTTACGTGCATTGGAAGCTTTGTGCTTTGTGCTATTTGAATAGCCAATTTAAACGCCTCGCCATAGCTTTAATTGGAAAAGTATAAATCATTAGAACACGCACTTTCATTTTTCACAATGGAAAGACGCCAAGAGTTTTATGATAGATATTTTGAGTTTCCGAAGGTAAGGCCAGTATAATAACGATAAAAACCTTATTCCTTCTCTTCCACTCTTTTTAATAACGTCACTTGACTTAATAAAGTGTTCTCAACGCATAGTTATTAGGTTAGATTCTGGATCATCGCTTGTAAAAGCGCGTTTCATGACTGCTCTCGTATAGAGCCGCATAAACTGTGACGTGAATAAAGCTAAATTGAGCCCGTGTTCGGAGAGCCACTTATTCCAAACAACTTTAATCTGTCCTTAGAATCATTTCAGCAGACAAAACTTTAATTTTTTCTAAGGCTGTGTGATTGCACAACTACAGATGGTAAGTAACATCTAAACATTAAACCAATATTTTATACAACAAGTACCTACCTTAACCTTAAATAGTCAACAGGATCTACCAGTACCAGGTAGATGGAAGGACACAACTAAAACTTCGTATACAGTATACGTACTTACCCAAGACTTCCCGAAAGTGATCCTGATTAGCTCCAGTCGATATGACAACGAACAAGGCCGGCGCTATGCCAATTTATACAATATCGATGGTGCCCAGTTCCTCAATGACTTCCGTAATTGCAGACCATGACCCCTTCCGTCTCTAGAGAGAGATCGGACGGTTAACTAAACGCCGAAATAGGGAGCATTAGTCTTCTTCAGGGGACTATTTTAATGTCAATCCTTGGTGGGCCACATGTAACGTTCTGGAGTTTGCTTATACAGTTCGCTTACAGTTCGCTTACAGCTCCTTTAGTTGCTCGTTATCCTAGATTGTATCACCTCCGTTCTCACTTTACCGTGCATAATAAATACTCGAGTAAATGTCTCCTGGGGCCTTGGGCGTGAACTTGGAGGCCTGGACACTACACCACACAAACATTTTTGCCTACTTTTGCTTCGAAACAGCAAACTCAAGAATGCCCATGACAAGCATGTTGATCGACAAGTAAACAAAGCACTGAAAGGGAAGTTTGTGGTTTATATTTTTCCGAGAAAAGGCAGTTGACCTTGAACAAAAAGCTGTGACCTGCTATTCAACAGCTGAGTACCAGTAAGCTTAACTTGATTCGATCAGTGAACTTTGTCTTTCTCAAGTTTTCGCAGCTAGCAAACCTGTAAACGACCCTCTTTGTATTTCCAAGTAAGTTATGAGACTTCGCATTATCTTTTTCTTTCGGTTTGGTGTGTGTCTACCAAACACATTCCTGCGTACTTTTGCCTCGAAATAGCGAGCTCAACAATGATCATATGATGCATGTTGATCAGTATGGAAACAAGGCGCTGAAAGGGAAGTTTCGCGGTTGCTATTTTTCCAAGGAAGTGGACCATGACCAAAACGCTGAAACCTTCCATTAAATCTAGGTTACTCGACCAGTGAACTTTGTTTTTCTTTCTTGTTTTTGCAGCTGGGAAATATAAAGCGATGTGACAGATTCCACAACAGGTTTAAGAATTTTCCCTAATTTTAGCTTAAAATCAGAATGCCAAAATTTGGTAATATTTCGAGTGGTTGCGTGTCTGGAGTGAATTTACCACAACTCTCAAGTAGGACGCCTGAGCAGTCACGAAAGGGAAAGTAAAGGAAAAATTTTGATCAAAATATGATATGCAATTATCTAAGAAACGTACCGGGTACCGGCTGTTGGGGTTTACGTCTGAAAAATATATCTACAAAATATGTGATGATCTTCTTTAGGTGCAATGGCTGAAATATTTTCAAAATCTTAGAACTCACGAAGGGTTACTGCTCTATTAGCTAGGGCTTTTTCCTTACCACGTTCATGTTGAAGGCTGTTAATTTTTTGTTCAAGTTCCTTAATTGGAATATAAAAAATGATAACTGCATTGAGCAAGTAAGATAAGACCAGAAGAAAACGAGGGTCTTTTTAGGAAGAAATATGAAACTCAAGCAACGAGCGCAGTGCTGAACGAGGACAATGCCTCAAATCTTTTTCAGACATTTTGCATAGTTCTTATTGTTCTTCAATTGTTCCCTTTCGTAGTTCAAATAGTTTTGCCTTCAATAACCTTTTTTGACAACTCTCTTTGTCTACCTAAGCAAGTTATGAGACCTTACATAGATGATTTCTTATGCCAATCCTTGGTGGGCAACTATCAAAAACATTACTGCGTACTTTTGCTTCAATACGGCAAAACTCAATAATGATCCGCATATGATACATGTTGATCTACAATAAAKKAA